GAATGGAACTGCGGTGCTGACGGGGGAGTAGTTGACGGCTGGCCGACCAGGGGCCTTCAGCTCGTCCACCAGCTGATCAATGTTGGGGAGAGGGTACGGGTCCATGGGGCACGCCTTGTTCAGGTCAGTGTAATCAACACACATTCTGAATGTTGGCGGTTTCTGGGCGAGGACGACGTTGGCCAACCACGTCGGGTACTTCACCTCTTTAATGTGTTTGATTGAGAGGAGCATGACGACCTCCCCTTTGACGAAGTCCCGCCTGTCGGCGAACAAGTAGCGCCGCTTCTGCTTGACAGGCGCGGAGGCCGGATCGACGGTCAGCCGGTGAGTGATCACCTGGCGGCTGATGCCTGGCATATCGTCCGGGCCCCACGCGAAGACAACGGCGTACGACCGTAGGACGAGGAGGATGGCGTCCCGCTGGTCCTGCGGGAGTTGCTTCCCGACTCTGAGAACCCGCTCCGGCCGGGAGGTATCCAGAGGGACTTCCTCGACCTCCTCGGCCGGCTCAGCATGCGGCCTCTCCTCGTCCTTGGCAACGGCTGCCGTGATGGTGTCTATCCTCTGACCTTCCCTCTCGGCCGGCTTCGTCAGTTTGAGGTAGCATGCTCTGGCTATCCTCTGGTTTCCTCTGGCGTAGCCGATGCCGTCATTTGTGGGGAACTTCAGACACAAGTGCTTCATGGAGATGATGGCCTCCAAGTCCTCCAGTGCTGGCCGCCCTAAGATCAGGTTGTGGGCGCACTGAAGGTGGACCACCATGAACTCCATGTCAATTTTGGCACGGTGGGGGCCGTCACCGACCTCCACGGGGAGGACTATCGTGCCCTCGGCGTCGATAGAGTCCCCGGTGAAGCCGGATAACGGTGTCTTGATCGACTTCAGCAGAGCTCTGTCCACCTTCAGCTGCCTGAAGGTATCCAGGTACATCACGTTGACGGAGCTCCCCGTATCGATGTAAGTGCGGTGGATGATGGAGTCACCGATCTCACACCGGATGATGAGGGCGTCCCTGTGTGATTCCGTACCCGGAGGCAAATCCTTGTCGGTGAAGGTGATTGTCTCCGTTCGCTGCTTCTTCGGTTGGGGGGAACGTGGGACACCTCCCCAATGTAGAGGGATTGGGCCCATTTCTTTCTCTGGGTAGCGGAGTCCCCCCAGTATTCCCACCCACAATGAGGTGAATGTGATTCTTCTTTGGCGGGGGCTCTTCGAAGTCCTCGTCGTCGCTGAGCCTACCAATCTCCCGCTTCTTCGCAGAGGGTTCGCCCCCTTGTTTGCCGGTGTTTACCCATGTGTTTTTGCGTGGGCCACCTTTAACAAACTGGGAGAGTTCCCCCTGACGAATAAGACGCTCGATGGCCTTCTTCAGCGTGATGCAGTCGTCGGTGTTGTGCGAGGAGTTCTTGTGGAACCGGCAGTATGTGCCGCCCTGCTGGATGGCAAGGACATCCTCGGCGGGCCGAGGGGCCTGCTCGATGAGTCCATGCTTCTCGGCATAGTCGAGGATGATGCTGACCGGGTGAGTGAGGGCAACTCCCGGCCGTTCCAACCTCGGCCGCCAGTGGCGATCTTTCTTACTCTGTCCACCAGAGCCGTGGCGGCCCTGGGCACCCTGGCCGGCCGGGGACAGACCCAGAGCCGGCGAAGGATTTGTCTTCTTGAAGGGATGGCCCCCCTCTTTCTTGTGATTGTGGAGCTCGTCGGCGTCGGCGTACAAGCCTCCGCGCTGGAGCGCCTTGGCGTACGACCTCGGAGGGTCGGTGATGAGGCTCCTAGCGTACGGGGAGCTGCGGAGGGCTCCCTGATACAAGGCGAGGAGGGTGCGCTCATCGGCCCCCTCGACTTCTTCAGTCTCCCTCGTCCACCGATCAATGAATGACCGGAGGGACTCATCATGCTGCTGCTTGACGGAGAGGAGGTGGGTGAAATACTTCTTCGCACGCTTCCTCCCCGCAAAGTGGGTGAGGAAGCGTTGGGCAAGATCTTGCCATGAGTCGATGCTCCCTTCGGGGAGCGCGTTGAACCACTCGTACGCTGGCCCCTCGAGAGTAGAGAGGAACCAACGGCAGAGGTATTCGTCTGATGCGTTCACCATCAGAATGTTGTTCTGATAACGGCTGAAGTGTTCTTGGGGGTCTGATCGGCCGTCGTAGGACTTGATGGCGTTTCCCGGGATGGGGGCCGAGAGGACCCTGTTGGTGAAAGGGGTCCTGGTCCTGACCTGGATGATGGGGTCACCTCGCCCCTCGGCCAACTCCCTCTCCAGGGCGCTGACTTTGTTCATGAGCGCGTTGAGGCCGGGGTCATTGGAGGCGCCGACCGTAGGGATGTTAGCCGACTGCTTGGCCTCCATCTGAGCCAGCCTCCTTTCCAGCTGGGCGATGACCTCGTCCCGGGGGTCCCTGGCGGCCGCAGCGGCGCCCGACTGGTTCCTCATGCGCTCGTCGTGAGCCGCATTGATCTGGTGGCGCACGTCGTCCTCGTGCAGCTTCCCCTTGCCCTTGTCCGGGCAGGGCTGGTCCGCTGTCCGGGACACAGACCCCAAGCTTTCCCTTGGCGAGCCAGGCCGACGCTCACCAATCCGTCCTGCCATCCTCTCCGAAACCGGACGACGGCGTGTGTCACCTAGCCTGTTAAAGGCAGAGGCTTTTCCACGCACTGGGGTCTGCCCAGGCCGAAGAGGGGAAGCGGGGTGGGAGTGGGACGACGCCGTGTCCTGGGCCATCACCCCCTCATCGTTGCCTATCTGGACGGCCAACGGTTGGGGCTGAGGAGGTGGAGTGACGTTCCCCCCGGTCCTTGGCAAGAGTGCGCTGAGGACGGTGGGGTTCTGGGCCAGGCTGGCGATGATGACCGATAGCGCGGCCTGGACCTGTGGATCCACGGACGGGGAGGCCGCGGCCATAGGCTGGGCCGGGGCATGGTCCGTCTTCTCAGCTCGTTTCTTGTCCAAGCCGATGCGGGCATCAGGGGCTCCGCCGTTGAGTTGGTTGCGGAGGTCCGTCGTGAGGTTGAAGGCCTCCTGGAAGACGTCCCCTCCGTCGACCTGGTCGGCCGTAGCATCCTCCTCGTGCTCCCTGGTCTCCTGGTCCTCAGGGATGGCCTTGTTGACGAGGTTGCGGTTTGATTTAGTTCTTCCCATGATCAGTGGTTAGCTGTGCTTGGTAGCGACGAAGGGTGCTAACTTGATTGTTCTAGCTCTCAACGAGAGCACCAAATGATAGAGTATATCTAGAGAGAAGTGAGAGCTAGAGAGAGAAGTGCAGTAATATGCTTCAATAGAATGAATTTGTAACCCTGATAACTACCTCCAGAGGAAGTATTTATAGGGAAAATACGGGCTGGGCTCCCAAGCCTTGGGCTTGGGAGGCCCATTTACAACTGGACCGCTACTGGGCCGAATACAAAGCCACTAATGGGCTGTACAAATGAGTAAGTGTAAAATCTGGTTCTGTGAGGTCTTCGTGGCCGACGAGGGCACGGCCGACGAGGGCGTGGCCGACGAGGGCACGGCCGACGAGGGCACCCGGGTTCCTTGGATTCAAGACCATGTTCTGAGTTGGTACCTTTCCGGCCGACGGGGGTCCCTTGGCCGACGAGGGCACCACTCAGTGTCTTGTGCTTTCTGTTCTTCTGAGTATGTGGGTCCTGGGGCTCAGACCCATATACTCCATCAACTACTTACATGTTATTATTTTTGTAATTATTACTATTATAATATACTACGTGATACGTATTGAAAATGGAACAATCCTAAATTAGAATACATATTCCAAAAAGAAGTATATATATAATCATTACATATATAATTATTAGATACCATGTATAAAATATGATACAAAGGCCCACGAACCGGCTTGCGAGCCACGAGCCTAAAATAAATAGGCTTGAATTGAGCTTGTTAACTATTTGAGCCGAGCTGAACTCGAGTCGAGCCTTTCCTGAGTGATCCATGAGCAGCTCGTGGGCGGCTTGGCTCATTCACACTCCTATTCTGAACCAAAGTTGTAGTCTTGTAGAATTTATATTACATCCCGGTGACATCTGAAAAGGTGCAAGATTTTGTAGTTACTCCGTTTTTTCCGTATTGTGTGACTTGTGTCATAATAAAGCTCACTACCTCCGTCCCATTTTATGTGTCTTGTTTTGGTTTGGCACAATTCTTAATAAAGTTGTTGGAAAAGTAAAAGTTGTGGTTGTGATTTGAGTATAATTACGTGAAATGTTGTGGACCACATATTTCTTTCCAAAAAAGGAAATGTGACACTTGTTTTGGGACAACCCAAAAAGGAAAGTAAAACAGGTAAAATGGGATGCGGGGAGTAGCATTCTTAATTGGGTTGGAGTCGCTCCACTAGGTCACAATGAACATTGGCCAAACCATACCAAAAACTTAAATCCAATCAATTAGCTAGTCTAACACTCTAACTCAAATCCTTTTAAACCAGTGTATATATTTTAATACTTTGACCCAGTACTCTTTACATTATCTGTGTTGAACTTTTCATCCTTTTTAAGGAAAAGGGAGCCAGTTTTTTCTTTATTCGTTTTTTATTTATTCACATATAAATATACATACTACATGTTTTTTTTACATACATACACCACACACACACATATTTGCCACTGGTCGAAAATGGTCCTTTGTTTTGTGTCAAGACTCAACAGTGTCCATCAGTGTCCGCTGGAAGGGTCCCATACTCCCCCATAAATGAAAGTACTAGTGTCCCTTGCATCACTTCATGCTGTAGAGGAACCAGCATTTGACTGCATACCGTTTTGTGGATAATAAGGGCCCATTTGGTAGGAAGTATTTGGCTGGGATGTGGTGGCTAAACCCGCTAAATTTTATGAAAGGAAAAGTGTTTGGTATATCAATATCAGCTGAATAAATAAGTCAAAGGTATACATTTTCTGCTTATTAGCCAAATAAGCAGAATAAGCAAGGAGAAAATGCAACAACAAGAAGCCTAAGAATGTCATCTTTCTTGCAGGATCTCATTGATGTTGAAGGTGATGGAATGGCTGACATGGTATTTCGATGCATCCAGGAAATGGATATTGACAATAGAATGATGGTATATTACTCCAAATTCTAGAATTTGTAGATAATTTTTTGCTCACAGAATTGCCTTTTTTTGGAGACATTTTCCCCTATTTAGTAATGCAATGCCTTTCTCCATGCAGCTTTACCAGCATATAGTTCTAAGTGGAGGGAGTACCATGTATCCTGGCTTACCTAGTCGGTAATGGATCTAGATTTTTTTTACTGGTTTTCCAAGGTTCCGTTTTGGAATTTAAAATACATTACGGAAAGAAAATATGGAGAGAGAAAATTTGGAAGGAGAGAAAATGGGTAGGAAAATAAAAAATGCTTCAAACTCTACAAAATAATTAAAGATATTTGTGCAAGCTCATTCTATTTTAAGAAAGAATTACATAGATATTACTCTCCAACTTTCATTGGACAAAAATATAACTCTTTTAAAAAATTCCAGAAAAGTTACCTGTTTCTCTCATTCGTCCCCAATCGTCCAAGACTCTTCTTCCAAACACCTCACCCCCTCCTGCGCATCAAACCTTCTGCAGCCAACCTCCTCCCTTACTTCCACATTTTCCCTTCTTCTCTGGCAAACATCTCCCTTCACTCCTCCGCGTCTTCTTCTACCATCTCCCGCCGCCGCCGCCGCAAATATGAGTCTCTCCTCCAATTTCTCCTTTTCCTTCTCGCCAGCCTTGTTTCGCATATCGATCTTCTTATCCTTGCAATTTTTCAAACTCGACGGCGATTCCATAGATTTAGGTGAAGTCCTGCGATGGTGATAGGCACGACAACGACAAATCTTTTCGACAGCCTCCAGATCTGCTCAACGACGTCGGTTTCGATTGATTTCAACGAGTGTTTCGGTCAATTTCAGCTTATAGGGTTTCAAATTTGACGACGGCGGTTGCAACCCTTTCAGTGCTCTCACAATCTGACAATGAAGGCCAGGCCTGGAGCTCAAGGAAGGGTTGGGAAGTAACAAGAGCAGTATAGAGCAAGGGCAGTATAAGGGGTTTGATTTTGGGTAGTGGCTGAGGCTACGGTGAGTGTGGGGCAGTAGCAGAGTGTGATGGTGGTCAGCGGAGGGGCTGAGGCGGTTCTGGCGGTGATAGGCGAGGCAGGGGAGAGCTGATGGGCCCGAATACAGAGCTAGGTGCAGGATTGGAAAGGGAGCTGTGAGGCTAGTGAGACAGGGCAGTGGCCGGAAGTGGTTGAGAGGGCGGTGGGAAGGGCGGCATCGGATCAGATGCCGGAAAAAGTCGTCGGAAATTTTTCCGGCGACACAGTGACACGTTTCCCGAGATAGTGACATCTGAAAGTGACATGAAAAATGGTAGTGACAAATCATAGTGACACGAAAAAACTACAATGACATGAAAAATGTAGTCAGGGGGCGTTGGTGGTGATGTACAGTTTCGCCGGAAAAGGTTGCTGGTAAATTTTCTGACATAAAAATCCAATAGTGACACACAATAGTGACATAAATATCAGACAATGACATAAAAAACAGTGACATCATGTTTTTCCATATATGTGACCTTCTTTGTCACATTTTTGTCCTTTTCAAAAAATGGTCACTTTTTAAGAAATCAGCTTCAATTAGGTAATATCCAAGGAAAAAGCCCCTATTTTAATTGTTTTATTATTTAGGAAGTCATAGAGATCTAAAAATATGAATTTTTACAAAGTTCTAGTTGATTTAGATTTTCCTGTCTATGTTTTCCCTTGCCCCCCTTCGTCCCAACCATTTTCCAAGTTCCTATCATAGCCTAAGAGCTACTTTGGATGGAGGGCTTTAGAGAAATTAGTTGGAGTTTCTGAAAATGAACGAAGGGCGATTGAAATGTTATATGATCACTTGTTTTGTTCAGCTGTATTAGATCTGGAATATGTATGTGTGTCAGCATGTGTATTTGTATGCATGTATTTATCCATATATAGAGTTAGCCCTCCAAATATTTGAGGCTTCTTGCTTCATTCAACCTGATTACTATTAGATATTTTTCTTTTATCTATTAACAAGTACCCCCCCCCCCCCCCCCCCCCTCGAAGCTTAGCTTAGAGAAGGAGATTTTAGATCGCTATCTTGAAGTGGTTTTGAAAGGAAACAAGGATGGATTAAAGGTATTGGTCTATTAGTGATCTATAGACAAAAGTAATTTTTTCGGTGGTACTTTTATTGAGTCAGACAAACAAATGTTTATACAGAAACTGCGATTAAGGGTAGAAGATCCACCAAGAAGAAAACACATGGTGTATCTTGGAGGTGCAGTTCTAGCAGGAATTATGAAGGTATTGCATTTGCTTCACTAGCTGTGAAATCACTCTGGTTTTCCTGGTACAATAAAACTGATTGTATATTTATATATATGCCACTCCAACCCCTGTTAAGCTTATTGCTTTCTGGATTCAACTAAAATATCATATTGTTTTATTGCGAAAGAGTGCGCATGAACTAAGCTGGGGCCAGGAGTACCTGTAATTTCATATTAAGCTTCTATAGCAAAAAGTTTATATTAAAACAGGACTGAGTTTGGGTGTGGGCCTGGTCCCTCCCTTCCCCAAAGCTATACCTGACTGTAGGCTATATGAAAGTTTATTGAACGGAGCAAGGGTGGGCTGGGAAATATTTCACCTGTGTAAAGTTGTATAGCAAAAAGTTTACATGTTAAAAATGAGCGCACTTGGGGTGCGGACATACGAGACCAGATTCCCCACCCCCTCAATCCATCTTGATTAGGTAGGGTAGTTATTTTGAAGGACAACGGAAAAAAGGATGATTTGGCATTTGTGCAGGATGCACCTGAGTTTTGGATCAATAGACAAGACTATTTGGAGGAAGGAGTTAGCTGCTTAAGCAAGTGCGGGCAGGCATGATGATGGATTTTATTTATACATCTTGGGTTCCACATGAATCACTTTGTTTCAAGCAATGTTAAAATCTGGATGCTGAAAGTGGTTAATGATTTAATTTGTGGTCAAGTTACAGTGCGGCAGGTGACACTGTTTGTTACAGATACTATTATCACAACTCGGTGATATTACCATTTTTGTATTTATTTTGGTACTCCTCCTAGAGAGAACTGACAAACATACTTCTCATTACTTTAAGGGGGGTTTTAACAAAAATATTACTAAATACTCCTTCTGTCCCCCTATTATTGTCCCATTTCCTATTCACTTTGTCAACACAAATCACTCGTAATCTCTTACTTTATTTATCAAATTTTTATCAAATTTGATTCTGGTTTTTGCGACTTTGTAATCCTTTTAATGTAGTTTCTTAATATGCATTTTTTTCCCCTAAAATAGTTCTAGTGTGGACAGGGATCTATTTGCTTTATCGTCAGTCAAGCATCGTAAACCGCAATGGGACAATAACAGGGGGACGAAGGTAGTAATAGGTAATGGACAAAAAAGAGACCTTTTTTCTCAAGTTCCAAAAATGTGACTAATAATCCTTGTTATCTGTTTATGTACAGGGGTAAGACTGCGTACATCCGACCCCCCTTACCCTACCGTAAGTGGGAGCCTTTACGGCACTGGGGTAAATGAAAATGATATAAATATATATATATATATATATATATATAGAATAAGGATCAAATGAGAATAGTACTTATCGTAAGAAGTGAGAATGCATCTGGTGCGTTCATTTTAAGATCTGTGCATCATATTAGCAAAAAATATTAAAAAAGTGATGCTAGACGCGGTGGTATATCCGTAATTAATCGGAATTTTTCTGCCATCGCAAAAAGTGCATCAGATTAGCGAAAAAGTGCATCAGAAAGAGATAAATGTGAAACTTCTCACTTCTCACGTTAAGATGTCTTCTTATTAGAACTCAACCATATATATATATAGGGAAGAGTTCAAATAAAAAGATCTCTTTCCATGCAAAGTGCGAAGAAATGCACTTTTGCATGTTTCGCTTTCACTTTTGCGTATTTCTGTTGCACTTTTTCGCTTTAACGAAAAAGTGCAATATATTTACGAAATTGCCACCGTGATTTTGGTCGAATTTTGTGCATTTTTGGCTCATTTTGAGCCATTAGATGTGGAAATGAATGTACAAGATTCATTCTCACTTTGCATGGGAAGATCTCTTTGTATTTGAACCATCCTCTCTCTCTCTCTCTCTCTATATATATATATATATATATATATATATATATAGTCCGGTTTCGGTGAGAACACTCCTTAACGTGAGAAATGAGAACACTCCAAAATGATGTACTTCATTCTTCACAAAACTGCACATTTATAGTTAAAGTAATGCAAAATTCTAATGTGCACATTTACGTTTAAAATTTTGCACAGACAAAATGCACATTTTCCAATTTTTTATATGCACGTTTCTGTTTTACATGATGCACAATGCTCAAATCCAACGCTCCAGAATCATTCTCATTTCTCTCCTGGTATTCTCATTTGATTCTTACCCTATATATATATATATATATATATATATATTCTGCACATTTCAGTTTCACCTAGTGCACATTTCAATTTCACCTAGTGCACATTTCAATTTCACCTAATGCACATTTCAACTTCACTTAATGACATTGTATCATACACTTTGTGTTGCACATTTCAATTTTACCTAATGCACATTACAGTTTCATCTAATGCACAATGAATTTCACTTAAAACAAATCTAACGGTCCAGATTCGTTCTCATTTCTCTTCTAAGATCCGTTCTTACCGGAACCGCTTCCTATAAAACAAATCTAACGGTCCAGATTCGTTCTCATTTCTCTCCTAAGATCATGTTCTTATTTGAACCAAAATATATATATATATATATATATATATATATATATATATATATATATATATATATATATATATATATATATATATATATATATATATATGGACTGGATTCAAAGTGGTGAATGGTTGTAGAGTCCCAGCTGAGGAGGTGCGTTGGAGATGGGATTCATAGGGAAACACCCACTGGAGCTATATGCTCCTTCTCTCTCGGGACCATATCAGTCATTGCTCATCCCTTATATGTTAGTTAAACCAAATGTTTTGGTCATTCTAGATTAGATATGTTTCTTCATGCAATTCCGAATTTAAATTCTCCAGTCTATTAATGTTAGAGAGAGTTGCAACCACACACTAAGGAGACGTTTACTTCGCTGCTAAAGTCACAGTTAGGTTAGTAAGACAGGTGAAGTAAACACGCAAGTTGCTTAAAACACTGCTTACTAACTGAAAGAGGTGCTTCAAGTACCGCTTACTAAGCATACCACCCCCCATGTATTAATTAAGCGGCAGTTTAAGCTTTTTCAGTTTCCGAATTTACCCTTACCTTAACCCCTTGCCCTTACAATATTGCTACCCCACTACCCCACCCTACCCTACCTTATCCCGAACCCGACCCTACCCTCCACCACCTGCCCTACCCTCACCCATTTACCCCCTACCACCTTCCCCAACCTTGACCCCACCCCTTACCCCCGCCCCGACCCTAACCCCTACCTCTGCCCCTACCTCGACTCCACCCCACCCCACCCCGACCCTACCCTCCACCACCTGCCCCTACCCCCCACCCTCACTCCTTACCCTACCCCTTTATCCCCTACCACCTTCCCCTATCTTGACCCGACCCCGACCCCACCCCTTACCCCACCCCTTCCCTACCCCGACCCTAACCCCCTGCCCCTACCTGGACCCCACCCCCTTCACTACCCCGACCCCGACCCTACCCCCTACCCCCACATGTACCCCTTACCTCGACCCTACCTTTTACCCCTACCACCTTCCCCTGCCTCGATCCCACCCCGACCCCACCCACTCCCATTACCATACCCCAACCCCTACCCCTTTACCCCATATCACCTGCCCCTACCTCGACCCAACCCCTACGAGTAGGGTGGAGGTTGGTATGGGTGGGAGTAGGGGTGGAGGGTAAGGTCGTGGTAAGGGTAGGGGTAGGGAAGGGGTGGGGGTTAGGGGTGGGGGTTAAGGGTGTGGAATTGGGGGTAGAGTGTGGGGTGGGGTACAGGGCGGGGTAGGGGTTAGGGGTGTGGGTAAGCGACTAAGCGTCGAGGTGACCCCAGATATTATATTATATACTTGTGTTCATAAATGTTTGTGTGTGTATATATCTATAGGGTTATTTTGGACATTTTAATATTAAACGGTGTTTTAAATCATTTGAAGTAAACATGAGCTTACAACACTGCTTATTTTATGCGCCGCTTATTAACGCGAGTCTTAATAAGCATCGTTTACTAACCCGTGAAGTAAACGTGTCCTAAGTATGACGAAGAAGTAGAACTTAAAAGTCATGTGAACTTTTCTTGGCTGAATGTGAAGTTGATGCATGTGTGAGAGTTTTCACCAAATATTACCGCCATGATATATTGATATTTCAACCATCTTTTTTTCTTTTTCTACTAGTATGTTTATTTTTATTGTGATGTTTATTTCTTGCCAAAAAAGAAATTTAATGCATACAAGACAACTACCGATTTAGAACTTGAATACATTCCCATTTAAAACATAAAATAATTTGTAATGAGTATAAACTTTTTCAGATTGATAATTTTAATCACTCAAGTGTTCCGTCCCGGTCATTTCTTCCAACTTTCCTTTTTGGACCATCTCAATTAATTCTTCTAACTTCCATTTTTGGAAAAAATATGTGGTTCACATTCATTCACATTTTTCTTACACAACTACAACCATACATTTTCACTTTATTCTCACTACCTAAATTTGCGATACCGGTCAAACCGGAAGAAATGACCGGGACGGAGGGAGTTATATTCACCAGTCTTTCAGTTTTAGGATGTTTTGTCGGGCCAGACACAGAGACCAAAGACTAGACATTTACCAGATCAGTTTAGATCATATCAAATCAATAAACTTCGGTCCAAGTAAAAACATCTTAATAGTTTATGTTTATTTTTTGAATTATTTCGTGGATGTTGCATATAGAAAGATAGAGAGGAATATCCTGATCTTTTTCTAGAAATTGCTCCTAGAAAATACTTAGGAGCACAATAAAAAATAGGTTTTTGGGGGGTAAATCTTCAAAATCACTTATGACAGTTCGAAATCAACTTTTGAGTTAGGGGGCCAACTGATTGTGTGTGTAGCGTAATTAGCTGAAAAATTACATTTTAAGTTTTTGGTAATTTTTAGCTTTATCAACTAAAAAGATCTTAAAGAGAAAAAATTGTATCCGATTGGTAAAAGCTAGCCTATTGTTTATAGGCATGACAATGGATTGAGAGAGGGTATGATATGTAAAATCCAGACGATCTCCATGATTTACCAAGTGGACTCATTATATCTTGGCCCATGAACCACTCCATGAGAGGCGAGTCTGGTCCGCCCTATCATAATCTAATTAGCTAATATGCATTGTCTATTTGTGTGATGTCATTATTATATCTCAAAGGAAGAAGGGCAAAAAAGGACACCCGGATTTATGATGGACCAAATTAATACAAATTTAAACTCTTACGTTCATTTTTTTACCACCCACTAGCATTGTCATTAAACGGCCGTTTCCCAGTGAGGATTAGGAGAGCTCCAAGTTGATGCCTCGTTTCCGTGGGAGTCTCCATTATTCATCATCATTAATTCATAAATTGCTTCCAACTTTGGCCAAATCTCATTTTATCTTCCAAAGCACCACTTTCTAATCAGGACCGTTAATTATGTTATCTAAAACAGGGCCCTCTAATTTGTGGGGTCCCAATTTTTTAAAAAATTGTTAGTATTATATATTAAAACACAGTTTGAAAGGAAGAAAAATATAGATTCATCATTTTTTCATTGGCCCTTTTAGTGCTTCTATTCAAATTGCTTGAATAATGAGTTGTCTATCTTTAAATCAAGTATTAAGTAAGTTTTTGAAAAAAAAAATTACACTTTTTAATGAGTTCTCAATTGATTTGAGTACAAGTATTTAAATTGAATGCAAGTACACCATCGTCAAGTCTAGACTTGATGATAGAAAATGTGATAACGCCAACTGAAAATTGTACCATGGATTATGATCGACTTTAGGCAGAATTGAAGATTATGTAGAATCCATTGCTGCCAGAACCTTTTAATTATTTGGAGAACACATTCCTCGAGTCCAGACAACATGTATGGATGAAGAAGAAAATGGCCGGTTCACCTTCCCAATTCAAGTAAGAATTTATCACTGTTTATGATTGGGTTTTAGTGTTAAAATGTTAAATTTCGTCACTTGCAATTCTCAGTTCCTAGTTAATTAATGCTTACGTATATTCAAGAATGGAATTCGCTAGTTCCTGAGGGTGTGTTTGGGAGTTTGAGGGTGAGGGAAGGGGAAGGTTTTGAAAGGGAGTAGAGAGAAGGGAAGGGGAAGGAGATGGGAAGGGATTCCATCCTTTTGTTTGGGAGTTGCAAATTTCAAAAGAGGAGGGTTTGGGGACTTGAGGGGTTTCAGTTGCGGAGAA